TGCAGAAAGAGTGCGGTTTGTTGCTATAACAATGTTGTGTGCTTTGTTTAGATTGTTTAGAAATCCTTTATGCCAATGTCTCTCAAGGACCTATTTCTGGTAAGAGACATAGACTAGGATTTAAGACCACTCCATCGTTCCCATTAGTGGTAAGTGGGAGAATACTCCCAGAGTCACTTGTTAGGTTGAAGACGGGCTTCTAGGATAGAAAATGATATTTCTACAGGAACCATGACCATTAAATTGCAAGCAAACTAATTAATGTAATTACTTTAACTCCGTTCTGTTTTTTCAAGTGTAATTTGTACCACACTGTGTAAATGACTATTTGCCAATTATTCAAAGATTCCTCGCCAGCACTGCAGGGTTCCCTAACAATAGATGCAAAAAACATTTCTTCTATTGAACTGCCAGTCCTTCTCCTGAAACACTCCTTTCTCCTGTTCAAATACCAGCCTAGTCCAATGCACTCCAGCTCTGTCCTGCAGAAAAAGCATTTCTGTACACCTCTTTATTTTAGCTAATACCTGGTTTTCTGCATAAATATTTATTGGGTTTGTTGTTTTCTTTTTTTTTAAATTACCTGGCTGGGAAGGAGGGAAGGTAGGAAGGATGGTAAAGGAAGATGATCTCCCTCTTTTCTGAGCAAGAGTTGTATCTGAAAGGATAAGAGACTGAAATTATCACTTGTTCAGAGAAAAAAAAGAAGATTAATTTTAAGGTTAGCCAATTTGATGTTATGCCTTCATTGGCAGTAGAATAAATTATTATCTGCTAACCAGCAGTTTTCTGAAGTAGACTGTTAGGTTACGCCTATACTGCTGAATCAGAGAGGTCTCTGAGGCCAAGTGGCACAGCTTGTCTCAGGCACACTGCTTACAGCTAGTCCAGTCTGTAACAGTTCTGTCTTGAAGACCAACAATTGGACAGGCTCAAAACAGAAGCAGGGGGTGAGCTATCAGTTAAACAGTGTGGACAATCAAGAGGTCAAACATTCAAGCTTCCTCCTTGGTATAGGCATACCCTAAAATTTCTACTATATCTATGATTTTGTGTATGACCTTACTATAATTTTCACAGTAAACCAAACTTAGCTAATCTTAAATCCTCTTAGCTACATGCAGGTTTGTCACAGGACTAGATAAAACAAAATACAGTGTACGTGTATTAATGTCTGAATTCAGAAATAATTTTCTGGTCCCATCCACATATTAAATAAACACTGTAAAATACAGATCAGTCCTTCTGCACATTAGACTCAGTGACTTGCATGCATTTCCCATGGAAGTAATACACAGTCTTTAAAGGGCCTTCCACGTCAGCTGGCTGGTCAGTAGAGGCCCATCTGGAAACTGCTTTACATTTTCAGGGATTGCCCAGGGAACTCATTTATTCCACAAACCAGTGCATCTCATTCCTTTCCAGCCCTCCTCCTCCCTTGTGCAAGTAATTCAAGGAAACAATATGAAATATACAGATTTTTCACTACTTTATGTAATACTATGCAAGTATGGAATATGAATGTATTTTTACTTAAAAGGGGATTTCTTGGAAATTACCAGCAAGTTTATATCAATGTTCAAGTTTTCATGATTTGCAGCATCGCTACAGTGCAGAAATGTTTATTGTACTGGAAAATTCCTTCTCTTCTTTACCAGATGAGAACACGGAACTATAGTAATTAAAACATGACTGGAGCTAAACCTCATACCTGTGTTAGACTGAGAGTCAGACTTCTGGAAAGTAAAAGATGATGATCTTGCACGCTTTTGGGAACAACTAATGAAATCTAGAGAAAAGTAAACATAATGTTCTGTAGGGGTAGATTGGCAGGAGACTTCAGCACAATGTTATGATACGGAATTAAAATGTGAACACAGTAAATTCTAGGATTGACTTACAGGAACAGCTTTAAGGCAGTACTTAAAAGCACAAGGGCTTTGGAATCTCAGTCAACCCCTGGCACAAATCCCTAGGGAGCCTTCTTTATTTCTACTAAGTTCAGGGAACCTAAATCAAGCACTTTGAATCAGTTAAGAGCCCACAGGCTCAGAAGACATTAAGAATGCAAAGTTACATTATAATGTAGCTTAAACAAATAGAAACGGGCAGCTAGGAGCTCATACAGCTGATGAATGGACTTGGCTGCTTTTCAGAGCTTCTGGAGTTCAGCTTTCTGCTAAATATGAGAGGTAAGACGGAAGAATTCTAGAGGTAAGACAGGGACATATATATTAGGACATAGTAGGTGGCCCTACAACCCCCATAGTCTCACATCTACTAACAGGGATTTGTCTCTGCTCATACAAAGTAAGGGTCCAAACACTATTTTCACAGGCAATAGTCAGACCTATGAATAACCCAGTGTATTATACTGTTTCAATAAGGTGGTTATTACCATTTTCAGCTTTGCAAACTGGGTCTTCTGCAGGCCGCTGGAAAAAAATATAAGCATAGAAAGGTCAAAGAGAATAGAACAGCCATTTCCTAGACCAGGACACAAAGTATATCAATCCAGCATATATGCATTAAAAGCAGTCTTGTTGCTAGTTTCTACTTTTCCTTGTTCTATTTTGAGACCATTTACAAGTCTTAACCTGGGCTAAAATCTTTTATTACTGCTAGCATCCTTGTCTACAGAATCCTCACTTCTCAGCATTTTTCTATCAATTATGAAAAAAAAAAAAAAAGCTTTTTACCTTCAAAGGACGGTCCTTCTTTTCAAAAACAAATATCGGCTGGGCAAGCACTGGTCTCTCTGGAAAAGAGAAGAGACCATTTTTATTAACAATTCCATAATAGCACTTCTCAACCACAGTTCTCAAAGTGCTGTGCATAACAAACAGGACCTTATCTTTTTGTCACAAAGGAAGAAAATATAGAGCTGCAGTGATGTACAGCACAATCTGTAAATAAAAAAAGCTACAGTCCACAAATCCCAGAGTGAGTTTTGCCACAGGATTTAGCCTCATATTTTTTTACAATTCTTTTAGTTAAAAAGAACAAAAAAGTGCTTTTAGCCTTTTTGTTTGTAACATCTGCCACCCTTCAAGAACAAGGGTGAACTGCAGCTTTAGTTCTGAAAGAAGTGCAAGGATGTGAAATGAAAAATGATCCCAAAAAGAAAGCAAAGGAAATGTGTTACACTTGGCCTCTCAGCTACTTCCCATTCTTTAGGCTTCAGGTAAGTGAATGCCTAGGGTTAGTTTTAATGTGTGAATATGATATATAAACCTACGAAGTTCTGTGGAACAAATTCTACTCTCAGGCATACCTCTGCATTTCTTAGGTATGATTGAGAAAAACTTTGGATCCACGTTTTGGGGGTTGGGGGGTGTGTGGTTTTTTTCTTTTTTAATGGAACAAATTTCAGCATACAGTTGCCTCACATCAAATTTAATGTTGATTTAGGGTTCACTACTTCTACACCTTACATGACTTCTTCAAGCTATTTACTTTGCTACGAATGATACCTTCACAGCCTGTGCAACTCTAATGAACTAACTTTGGTTGTCAGTGTGAAGCAGTTGTTTTCACCAGTACCACCAATTAACGACACATTTATTATGCCAACAAACGGCACAATTAAAGAGCAAAGAAGCAGACACAAATAGATTTTTTGAACCCACACATACTGCATTCACCTCATGCTAGCTTGCCATGTCTATAATCTGCAGTCAATATAAACAATCAGCTTCTGAGCACGAGCATATTTTAGTTGTGCATGTTAGGAGATGAATGGAGACCTAAATGCACGTATTTCTCTCCACGGGTGATAAGAACAGACTAGGGTGACTACTGAGCTGTATGACTGGCCTTTGGCCAGAGAAATCCCACACTTATCTTGTTAACGAAGATTTGACAGAATATTTATCACATACACACCATTTCTGTAACACTGGCTTCCTCTGTTTTATATTAGAATATTTACCCATTCAATAAAAATGTCCATGTGAAAATATATGGATTGATATTTTTATCTTGCCTTGCACACCCATCTGGGACCAAACCACTCCAGCATTGGTATCAGTTACTTAAAGGTTTAATTAAGCAAATATCAACCTATCATGGAAGTTTTAAAATTATTTAGTAAGTATATATTCAACAATCCAGAAAGAAGTAAACATTGTTAAAATAAATGCTGTGTGTACATAAACTGGTGCAAGAAGCATACCACTATTACTCAAATCCAGTGATACACAGACACAGCAGTAATAACTAATACAGTTTTGCTGTTGTTGAAGTTAATTTTGTATTTGCTTGGGCATTATGTGTGTGCAAATGACTGAATTTAGCAAACTTGGAATGCTTTGCAATGAAGGCCTGGTTTGTCCTTAATAGAAAAAGCAGAAAAAAGTTCACATTGTTCAACTCCAACAAAGATAATTCTCTGTCGCTGAAAGTTGAAGAAAATCTCCATAATCTGGTTGCAGCTGGGGGTCCATAGCATGGCATGAGATGGAGCAATTCCACCTCTATTCACTAGAGGGGAGTGGCACACATAAACAATAGTATTTCACTGAAATACGGTTTACTCAATATTATAGGCTTTTTTCCTGTCTCCTTTAAAAAAAACAAAAGGTCTTGTATTCTTACTGAATGAAGAAAAAATATAAAAATTAAAGCATGACTACAGAAACCTTCATATTCTCCACAGTACCTCTCAAACTCAGAAGCTAGCAGCATTATGCACCTTTAAAAATCCAAAGCATGGAATTAGCAGAGTGAATTGCTGTGAAAAAGGAACTGACTTTCTATCCCAGAGTTAATTTTTGCTGGTGCTAGAAGGCTGTAGGGAGTTTGAAGGTATTAGGAACATTCACTGCAATTTAAACAACAATATTCCAGTGATGGTTTAAAACCCAGAAGTTCCAGAAGAAAAAACATTGTAACTGGTTCATTACCAACAGAAATGTGAAGCTAGGG